TAATATAGTTAAATGAACTATTCCTTTTTTTCTGTGTAGGTGCACTTCTCAAATATTTTTAGATAAACACCGTTTTGGTGTTTGCTGTATATAACAATTTCAACCATAATTCATGGTGTTTATATTAACACCACTTGGTGTTGGATTTTGACACCATTTTAAGATTACTCTTTACACCACAGATATTTTAAACAGTGTACATTACAATTTATGAATTGATTCGCAATTCGCCATTCCTTTCGCCAGCGCGATACAGGGGCAATATTCCTGGGGTGATTTGTGTGTAAAATGTTAAGGACTGTCAGGTTATGATTTTTCCAGATTTTTTAGAAAGCTGTTGTCATAACCCATTCGGCTATCAGCCGCTCTTATAAAAATCAATTTTATTTATCAATAAATATTGTTCATAAAATTGTTGAATATATTATTTGTGTTGCTGTTTTGAGCTAACTTTTTTGCATCTTTATTTGTTTTTATGGGTCATTTTACCATGGAGTTTAGGTATATGCATTTAATACAAATAATACTTTGTTGCTGGCCGCAAACTATTAAAGAAATTAGTTACTTTTTACTCTCAGAAATATGGTGACTAATCTTAAATTAGTCAAACTTTAACTATTTACGTAGTAAGAAATAACTATTTAAAAGTGAAAACGACTTTTTTATTAGTAAAAAATGCCGGTACTAGTAGAATTTTGACTATTTCATTTTTAGAGTGAACTTCCTATATTCAAGTCTTACAATCGACTCGTACCAATTTGTGCGTACCCAGCAAACACACATGGCCGGAATAGTGTATTTGCTGGGTACCTACAACATAAAAAAAACAAGTGCAAAAAACTATCCTTCAATGGTTATAAAAACTTAACATCCAATAACTTAAATATATAATTATACCGCGGAACTTTTCCAGCGTTGACGTCAAAATGTTTACAAAAAAAAATCAGAGTTAAAAAGTAAACACTTATCTTTATACATGTGCAAAAAATAACTATAATATCACAATATAATCATTTTTATGTAATCGCTGGAAAACTTCCGCGCTTTATATATAATATATTATGTATGTATATATACATACATAACACATACATTTACCTTTTATAAAAGTTGCACATATACAGGCCCGTTCCTGGGGTGTCTGGCGCCTACGTGCAGCATTCTTTGGTGCGCCCCTTTTATATTTAAATATAATACATTAAATATTTTAATTCTAAGCACTACAATTTAAAAAAATATATATTTTGCGACAAACTGGCAATATGTAATTGAAAATGTAAAAAAATCTGCTGAAATTAAGCATAAAATATGTTTAAATATATAAATTACCAAACAAACAAAATCACAAAAAAAACAACTGGTTTTTAGTGACGTACTCTCTAAAAATGAATTACTCAAAAATTACTAGTTTTCAGAGTAAAAAAGCAGTCACTAATAACTAGTCCACAGCAATTTGTATCCCGGACTATATCTCAAAAACTGTTCATTGATCATTCAACTGCTAATTGTCCGGTATACAAGTTTCTGTTGACGATAATTATTAGTGGCTGCTTTTTCGCTATGACAATTAGCCATTTTTGACCAATTCATTTTTAGTAAGCTCGATACAAGGTCAAGCATTGTGTAGACTACTTTGCTACCGTCAACTGCAACTATTAAACAAATACTAAAAATATTATGACAATTTATCTCCTTTTATTTTGATACTCATATCAAAAAAAAATTAAGCCGCCAATAACAAAGCGGCAAAAGGCCAGTCACGTTCTAACTCTCGACATAGCAAGACGTCTCGGATAGCGACCTCTTAAAAACAAAAAGCCTAAAACCCACACTTAATTACTGTGTGCAAATAAAATATAGTGAGTAGAGACTATCCCACAATCCATTGTGGACTACCCTTAAGAAAGTGTAAAGTGATAAGTTTCAGCTACAGGGCGGTCTTACCACCTTTGTCAATTGGACGCTTTTCAGAAGACAAACAAAAGAGGACAACCAAGGGAGGAAAGAGCCATCTGCAAAATCAGATAAGTAACCTTAAACCTAACACAAAATTTGCAACATTGGACACGACAGTTACCTTAAAACTTAAGTTAGGCACTTTGCTTAAACTCTAGAAGAAACATAAAGTAAACAAAGTGCATCAGTAACAATAGTAACATTAGTAAGATAATATTGTAAACAAACACAAAAAATAAAGACAAATGCAAAAAAAACAAAACCCCCCATCCTACGGTCATTTACACGAAAGCTGATTAGGACAAGAACGCGTAAAGCTGGGTCTCCACCAAGGCAACACAAGTTGACGACATTGTCACCAACTTTTGTTGCTAATAAACATTTTCAAGAAATATCACGTTGTCCCCACTAAAGAAATATTGTTACCGACTTTATTTATCGACTAAAAATGGAAAAGTTCATTTAGTGTTTAGCAACATGTGGAACGACGTGGATCTAATTATAGTGTATCATTTAATAAATAATAAGGATTATAAAATAAAACCAAAATTGTGTTTTAAAAATATTTGTCTTATTTTTTAAATACTTTTGAAGAATTTTAAATTTTAGACCATGTTCAACTTATTTTCTACTTTAAAATTTTTCAATTATGTGCTTGCTCTTAGAAATAGAAACAGTAGGTTTTGGGTAAAGGTCTTACCAAACTTCACTACTGTCGGCACACCGTACGAATGACCAATCGCATCTAATTCGGTGAAGACGTGTTTCGACCTATCTGTAAACATTGTCGCGGGGCTGCTTTTTCTTTGATGTACCGCTTTTCGACGGGAAACGAAACAAAGTCGGCGACTTCAATTTGCGACATAAAAAGTCGGCAACTTTTTTAAATTTTCGGTAACTTTGTTGCCAACATTGGTCGCCGACAAATGTTGCTTTGGTGGAGACCCAGCTTAAGGCAATAAACCCATTAATTTAAGAGAACGGCCCCAACAAAATAAACTTTAAACTAAACCAGTCCAAATAAACAGACATAATACAAACTTAGCGAAAATGACTAACGTGCTAGGCCAACACAATAACAAAAAATTGTTAGAAATTTCGCACTACTGCGGTAATAAACATAAAAAAGTAATCCCAAATGTTTGGAGTAATACTGCCCTACTATGGAGAAAGGCAGTAACTGCAAAAAAATGCAATCTTGTGCTATGGTAAAGCTATGGACATTTTGTAACCGAATTCAACACAGAAATGCAGTCAAATATCTCATAAATTAAAAAAAATCAATTAAATACCTACTGCTTTTTATAAAAATGTAGTTTATGCTAATTTCCCACAACAACTGCATGGTCTAGGGGGATACCGCGTCGTACTTAGATTTGAGTGGGCGTAATTGTCCCCCAAACACCAAAATGTCTATCCCTCCCGTCCTACCTCCTTCATGACCCTACAGGGAGTATAGCATCGGCCCGGCGAACGCGGGAATGGCTATTAAAACTATTGGCATTTCGCTCTCGAGCCCTAAATAGGGGACAGTACGGTCGCCGAAAGAAAATCGGCGTAAGAAAACAGAGGCCGGGGCCAGGGAACGATGAGGCAATGGGGCCGGTTATACGTCTCTTATACTCATACTTAATAACAATGGGGCAAAAGGCGCTTGATAGCGGCCGAAGAAAGAGCGGCAAAAGCCTTTAATGCGGCCACGCAAAGAAAGGCGGTAACCTTTATCCTATGTATGTTTAAGTATTTGTTTATCTGCATGAAAGTTTATCGAGTACTGATTGACCCTTTGATTTTGCGCCCCCAAAATGTTGCGCCTGAGTGCGTGCACGCACTACACGCTCGCCAGAAACGGCCCTGCACATATATATCACGTATATTGTTTCGTTGCGATTCGGAAACTAAACTTTGCTAGAAAATGTGAAGCGTTCGGCGTTGCTTCTTTACATTCCGGTTTACCCGATTCATTAAAAGTCTTGGCAGTATTAACATTTTTCTAAAAATCTACTTTTTTAGTAGTTTTTCAACATAATTTTGGTAGGCAAAAAATTATTATTAAATTTTTAATACAAGTAATTAAATTTTTTGTTTTTCCACGTAGTAATTTAAATTTAATGCTAATTTTTTGTAACGAATTTCTATGAATTCAAATTTTTAACAAACTTCAATTCTCAAATGTGCAGATTCCTGTAACTAACTAAAAATATATCCTGTATATTACAGATAACTGTATTTACCACTGCGTTTCAGACTTTTTCAATCAGGTTAGTAAGTATAAAAATATATAGCCACACTGCGCAAATAACACAATGGATTGTGAACCGGTAATAGACCTATCCCATAAAACAGACTTTTGGATAGCGCGTGCCTGAAGAAGAGTGGTATCTCTTTCTCTTTTATATAATTAAAAAAAGACGACGTGCCTTTTCACGCACGCGCTATCCAAAAATCCGTTTTATGGGATAGGTCTATTCATCACTTGGATCCGAAACTCATAACCTAATAATTCAGGTTATTTCAATAACCGGGTAATAGGTTATATCATGGGTGACAATATTATGTAAAAAAAAATAATTGTTTGATTTGGTTTTTTCATTATTTGAATTTATTTAGTTCGCCCTGTTGTCAGTGGCAGTCTTATCCCCTGCATAACCAGGGGTTGAATTTACTAAAAAAATAAATAAAAAACTATAGTTTTACTTTAGGCTTAGCTGTATATTCATTTATTAGCAAAATACAAAATGTTATCGGACTAATGTGAAAATGGAAAATTGCAATTAGGAGGATCTTACTCTTAATAGTAAGAGCTACGTAGATAGGTTTTATTTAAGGTGCTCAGCAGCCAATTTTTCCATATCATAAGTCAAACAAAATAATAGTAGATTTTTTGAGTCAACCTAGTATATATACATGTATCAAATTTTTATCGCCTGTGTAATTAACCTTAGGTCACAAAACGTCTCGGAGATAAAATTTTGCTATATAAGTTTTAGAATGTGCTCTCAATAATTATAATTTAAAAAACCCATGCCTACATTAATTTTAAAATGAAATATACAATTTTAGTGACATGTGCCGCTGTGTGTCTTTCCAACGCAATTGTTTGTGTGGCTGAGGTAGATATTTTCAATAATTAAAAACCAAGCAATTGTAATGTTTTTTATATCGAAATAAAATGCAAATATATATATATATATATATATTAGGGTGGCCCAAAAAAAAAGAATATTTTTTTTCTTCTCGTCTCTTGTGAAAATATGTTGTTTTATCATGCTGTAAGAGCCCTTTCAAAATATCAGCTCGATTAAAAATTTTGTAGGGGTCGCTCAAGATTTTTAAAAAATTTCAAAATCGTCAAAAATTGAATTTTTGTTTTATTTTAATTCTTTTTCTCGTCTCGATATTATTTTTTAGGTTGAAAATAATAAAAATTCTGTAAATTTTAAATCAATATTTTGATTTCTAAAGGTCGCTAAAAGTTCGTTGATATTTATATTCAGAGGTCGCTCGAAAACATTCAAAATACTCTACTTTGAAAGTTAAAAATATCTTGAGCTACCTTTAGAAATTAAAATATCGATTTGAAATTTTCAGAATCATTATTATATTTAAATTAAAAAATAATATCGGAACGAGATAAAAATTAAAATAAAAAAAAATCCAATTTTTGACGATTTTGGTAATTTTTAAAAATCTTGAGCGACCCCTAAAAATTTTTTAATGGTGCTGATCTTTTGACAGGGCTCAGATGGGCTTAAAGTTACAATTTTTTAATTAGTTATATTTTTTAGCAAAGTTCATTTTCCGAATCGCAACGAAACGAAATACGTGATATTTGTGCAACTCTTCCAAAAGGTAAAGTATACTACATATAGTTTTGTCGGAAGATAAATTAAAATTCTTATCTACTTCTTTTATTTAGAAAAATATATTAAGAGGTCTTGAATGATTTTTTGACTTAGCTAGCACCTCTACATTTTCGACCAAAGTATTACTTTTCCCCTTAAGAATTACAGCAATTACACACAAACATATTTTAAAACCAAAAAATAAACTTACATTTATCAAAAAACTTGACAGGGTCTCCTGGACTAGATGGACTTCCTGGACGTCCTGGACTAGATGGACTTCCTGGAACTCCTGGATTTCCTGGAACGTTTGGACTTTTGGGGCCCATAGGGCCTCCAGGTGAACCAGGTACATAACATTTTGACTTTACACGTATTTATATTGCCATGCATATTATCTAAACTAATTGTATTATTAAACAAAGTCATATTAACCTTAGTTGTATTGAACAGGCCCAGGGCTCAATAAAAGGATTACGTTTTATTTTTTCATTCCATTTACTATTTTGATAAATAAATATCCATATTTCATGTTTTCATATACATATATTGGTATTATCTTCTAAAAAATAGAAATTCCAGGATTGCCAGGGTATAATGGAGAGCCTGGGCATCCAGGTATTCCAGGCGAAAAAGGTGCTAAAGGAGATCTAGGAATCGCAGTCTAGGACTTTTTTAAAGGAGCTTCTGGGGAAAAACGCAAAAAAATCATTAAACTTGATATAATATAAGGTTTTTTATGTTGTTTTTTTAAGAATTAATTATCATACCTAACCCTCAATAACCGCAAATAAACGCAGATAACAACAACATTGATATTTAAAAAGGTAGGTAGATAAACCAATACGATCCATATATAATATTTTATTAAATTCAGAAAATAGGACGAAATCGATGTTAAATTGACAAAAACAAAATCAGAAAAAAAATTACTTACAATTACTTTATTATTTAAACGAAAAATAACTCTATCGTAAAAATTGCATATTTTGTGTAAACAATTCTTAGATTTTAGAAAATAATATCTTAAGCTCAAATTAAAATTGCCGCAAGGCTAGAAAAATCGCATTTTTCACTTTAATTGAATTTTGAGGGTCTTTCGTCTAACAAAAAAGTTTAAAAAAATATATCGTCAAAATTCGAAAAATCAATATTAGGAAAATATTATTTTGATGTAGAGAATAGCTTGACAAAATGTAAAAAAAATTGGCGGGACCAAACCAAAAAAAAAAAAATATTTGGAATAACCTATATGTCCAAGTATCCTTCTTTGTATGAGTATCTTTTTTTATTTAAAGAGCTCAGAACCTAAAATCTTTATAAATTCGTTATATCTTTTAAAATAATACCTTAATACTATAATTTGCTTAATTTAAACCACAACCAGTAAGGTCTGGTCGGCTTCCACAGAGGAGGCTCGGGTTCAATTCCCTGTGGAGAAATAGTAACAATTTCAAGCAGTAACAAACTACAAACTGATGTTAACAAACCTGATTTTTTTAACTGTGTATATACATGTTTGTTTTAACCAAATATATATATATATGTAGATGTAAAATATAACTAATTGCGCTCCTTAAAATAACCAAATGTTTATTTGGCTCTATTGAAAATAGTTAGGCTATAGCCCACAGAAAAAAAGGTTTGGTTATAACCAAAACTTTTTTTCTGTGGGCCAAAAGACAGCAACCTTCGGTCACCCGGGCGCGCCCCTCTGGGACCCCATTTGGCCTTAGGTAACTACGTCCTTGAGTTTGATATGGATTCCTTGACTTTTTTTCTACCTAACCATGCTTGGTTTTGAGATAGCCCACCACCATCTTTTGTTTTTCCTTTGGCCACCCTATTGTAATCTTACATGGTTAGGTAGAAAAAAAATCAAGGAATCCAAGGCGAAAAAAATCTACTAAAACGAACGAAATCGAAAAACACAAATTGTATGAAAATGTAGATAAATGTGTATGTTTACATGTAATTTACATGATGTAAAACTTACTTTTTTTCAAAATTTACAGAAATATCGATTTTTGGTTTTGACAGGTTTTCAGTTTTTTTTTTTAATATTTAAGAACCGCTCATTTTTTTTCTAATTTTTAAATGCCATTTTAATTGACTTTTAATTACTCAACCTTTGTCTTATTTAACCGACCTTGTAGCTCTTTAAATAAAAAGATACCCATGGGTAATGTATGCATACATTAAAGGATACTTGGTGCACCCTGTATATACAGGGTGCCTATATAAAAACGTTTCTAGGATATGTGAAGAAGGGAATCAGTATGGCCACAAAAATGTCCTTCACTGGGGCTGTAGCTGTATCTGTAGCTGTCCTTCACTGGGGCTGTAGCCACCCCAAATCAATTATTTTAAATGGCAATGCCCTCTTTGTAATATCTTATTGGAAATCTCTTGAAAATTGCTTTTTAACAGTGAGTAAGATCACCTCAAGTGGACCCCTATTTCCCACTTGATCGTGGAATTCAAATTAATATATTTTAATATAAAGCGGTAACTATCAATAATAAAACTCTAAAACAGTTTTTTAAAATTTTCATTTTAACCACATTTTTTTTACAATGAAAATTTTGTAGACTTTTAATTAAAATATTTAATTAAAATATTTCAAAAAAACCGTTTTTAATGAAATTTTCAGGATTTATTGTTTAATATTTACATTTTAAAAAATAATTCAAAATTTGAAATTATTTATTTATTATCATATTTCGAATTAACTTTTAAATAAACAAATGAAAATTTTAATGACTTCTTTGTCAAATTATGAATTTGTTTTTTTTTTATTTAGTTATATGCATTGTACACTTTAGTTAAATATTCTGAAAGAAAATTTCACTGCCCGCTATTAGTTTAAACAATAAGCATTTATTTATCCCCATGCGCGAGCGCTGTCGGTATAGCGCGCTACCGCGCGCCGCACAGTGGTCTAAAATCAAAAAAAGCTGGCCAAAAGCCAAAGCAAATTTAATAAATAGTTGTGATGTTTGAGTATGTAAAATGGTAAATGGACCTATTCTACAGGAAAAATTAGGTAGCTTCGGTACTCGCATCTGTAGGTCAGTTACAATTAAGCTCCGCCAGAATAAGTATTTCGACGCGCCATATGTGTTTAAATAACTACAAGAGTAACTACTGAAAACAAATTATCGCGGTGTCAGTTTCCAAATCGGTGTGATGGAGGGTGATCCTAAAGGTATGTAAAATAATCTCACACTTGTAAATCCTAAATTAAGATATTTTATGAGATATAAAAATGACATTGAATAAGCAACTGTATAATATGAACATTTATCGATTCGTCCTATAAAAAGCATTGAAATAGTTATCATCCAACGAGATCTTATGCTGTTGTAAAATTTCAAGTTGAAATATTGATATAACAAATTTGTCGATTTATATTAATATAAATCGACAAAAATTTCTTCTGGCTTTCTGCGGTTTTGGCTGTAGCATTACATTTTGTAGAGCCGCGCGTTTTTCTTTTAGTAGAGGAAGTGGGGGTAATTCGGAATACTGTTGGTAATTTGGAATACTTAAATATTGAAGCTATGCTTAGCGCCATCTCGTTAAATATGAAATAAACTACTAGAATAGCCTGTATTTTGTGGACATGTGATTTTGTAGATATTTTGATTTATGGTAGAGGGCCAACACATGTGAAAAATTAATTGTGGGATAACTAAAACTTTTTTAGTGGTAATTAAATCGGCAATTATAGCTTCGATTTTTATCTTTAAATTAACTTAAATTGTATCCTCAGGTAAGTAAAGGGTTATATTTTTAGTTGTTAATTGAATTGCCGGAATGCACAACCGACGCAGCGCGGGGCCAGTATACTGGCCTATAGCCTATAGGCTACTGCACGGAGACCGTTCAATTTCAACAAAATTCTTTAAATTAAACTCGCGATAACTCCTTAACTAAACGTGCGATTTTTATGAAATTTTGACAGAATACTTAGATTGATACAGCGATGCTATTAAAATAAAAAATACAAAATTTTAACCACAATTAATTAATAAATGCATCAATATTATTTAAGTCATAACTATGCTTAAACTAGTAGATGTTTATAAATTATATACATATATATATATGGTTTTTTTTCTTGGTAAAATAAAGAAGTTTTAGTCCGAATTTGACAATTATTAATAAATTATTATAGCCGTAATACTAATAAATAAGAGAGCCTGCGGCGGCGTAAATAGCTTAATTGCAACAAATCATTTATTATCAGTAATTATTACTAAATGTGTTTATATTGCACACTGTTCACTGTACAATATAAAACAGGAATTTTATTTTGAAATAAAATTATTACCATATCTTTTAACTTTTAGCAACATTTGCTTCCCACAAATTATTATTCTTCGATGTTTTTCGTCCGAACAAATCTAACATATTTAAGATGAAGCCTCACTAATGCATACAATATATACAATTTAGTAAGGGATGAAATATGTTTAAAATATTTGACATTTCTAAGTACAAAACCAAGTACCCTAAATGCCTTATTTAGGTACTATTGTATTGTAGGTAGAGTTGAATTTCATATTTAATTGCAATTTTACACCCAGATCTTTACATTAATAAATTCTACTTAAGCTAATGTTATTTAGATTATATGTACTATTAATAAATTTATATTTACGTGTGTTATAATTGCACACTTTTCTACGTTAGCAAACATCTTATTTACTTGAAGCCATTCTGATACATAGTCTAGGTCTTTTTGTAACATTTCGTTATCTTTTTCGTTGTTAATCTGTTTATATATTTAAAAATCAAATCAAACAGTAGCCAAGATGAATATTTAACACAGTAGCGGCCCTAGGTAATCATTTTATTTCAAAATAAAATTCGTGTTTTATATTGTACAGTGTAAAGTGTTCAATGTAAACACATTTAGTTATAATAAGTAATAATAAATGATTTGTTGCAAATTAAGCTTTTAACGTGATAAATCGAGTTTAGTTTCGATTCTTGTGCACTTTGTTGTCTTTACGCCGCCGCAGCGCGCCGCGGGCTTTTTTATTTATTTGTATTACGGCTATAATAATTTATCAATAATTGTCAAATTTGGAGAAAAACTTTTTTATTTTACCAAGAAAAAAACCGTATATATATATAATTTATAAACATCTACTAGTTTAAGCATAGTTATGACTTAAATAATATTGATGCATTTATTAATTAATTGTGGTTAAAATTTTGTATTTTTTATTTTAATAGCATCGCTGTACCAATCTAAGTATTCTGTCCAAATTTCATAAAAATCGCACGTTTAGTTAAGGAGTTATCGCGAGTTTAATTTAAAGAATTTTGTTGAAATTGAACGGTCTCCGTGCAGTAGCCTACTGGCCCCGCGCTGCGTCGCGACGCGTCGGTTGTGCATTCCGGCTATTCAATTGTACTTCTTCGATATGTTAAAGCATTTACTTTTTTTTACATATTATGGCGTAGGTCTTTATATTGCTAATTTGGAATACTATAAATAATGCAAATTTGAAATATTCCAAATTATATTCATTTTTTGTAATATTTGATAATTATCAAATTTTCTCTTTTAATTAATATTTGGTTACCTTTTTAAAATGTTTTATTAACCTTTTTAATATAAAACATTTGCTGCTACTTTGAAATATTCCAAATT